TCTCAACTCCAAATGCATTCTCTCGCTCACTCACTCCTCCACCAATCGCCCATTCCAATAGCACAAAAATCTAATCAACAATTCAAAATCTAAAGCCTTCTTTCTATGCAATAAACGTGTGCAAATGCTGCAGTGTCACTGACTACGTAACAAAAATAAAATAAATCAAATGAAGACCAACCAAATAACAATAACAACAACAACAACAACTAAATAAAACAAATCTCCTTAAAAATTAAAATAAAATAAAATAAACACAACAAAACGCATCTAATCGATAAGCTATATAATAAAAATATATACGTATGTGTGTACTATGTTATTAAATGATAAAATATATTTCTGTATATTAATATTTGATAAAAACTGCTCTAATCATTCTCCCTCATCCAAATATGAATTAATACAGTTTCATTGAACCAGTGAATTGAACCAGGGATTACGACGAAAAACAAGAAGGCCGAGAGAGACGAATAAAAAGGAAACAACAACAAATAAAAGTTCTGCCCATCAGATAAGTCATCATAAGAACAAAACAACAACGCAACAAAATATTAATGAACAAAACTCAAAACGAATACACAAAATTCCAAACAAATAGCAGTAGTAATAAACTGAGAGTATTATATATCATATCATAGATTATATAATATCATAAACGATTTGCAATCAATCGTTGAACAAATAAATTATTTACGTTCTTCAAATGATCAAAAAGAGCAAAATTAAAGTTATCAAACAGAACATGCTAGCTGATATAAATTGACGATAATAATGGTAATTCATGATAATCGCAATAATATAACAATAATAAAATTTTGAAACGTTCCTCTTCAAACTCTAAACTAAACTAAGATGTGAAATAAAACAAAATTATATCAATTGAACTCATATTAATTTTCAACTCATCGCTTTGTCGTTGCAGATGCTGTTCTGGTATTATTTGTAGTTGAAGAAGCAGACGTTGTAATATTACCACCCGTCGATCCCGCATTTTTTGGTTTCGTATCTGTGGCCAATTCTCGTTTTGCTGCGTCAGCCGGCTGAAGACAAACAATACATCGTCGATTCAATTACCACCACAACACAATCAGATGTTTTGCGAACCAAAGTCATATTACTATANATGTCACGTCAACATGAACCTCTCTCTCATCAAGTAAACAACTCACGAAAATAACCGAACACACTCAATGTACCCACGAAAACTGCCGTCCCAATCGCCACCGTTCGATTACCACTCAGCAACATTTTCGTGCACGAGCAAACTACCCATCGACAATACGATTGCATGATAAACAAACGATAAACGAACAAAAAATAAATGAACACCAACTCACATCAACAGCAAAATCGTCCAACTTCTTGTATTTGGCCAATTGCTCTTTGAGGAACGTGTCCACTTCGAGTCGTCGTGAATGTCTGTAGTATTTCAAGAATGCCCAAAACTTCTCCAATCCGTACAACTCACCTCGTTCCACATCCGCTATCGTCTCCTTTTGGAAATCCAAATAAATTTCAGGACGGAACTTACGCTCAAGACCATAACTATAGAAGCGGAATAGACACTCTAATCCATACCTAAAACCAATATTCAAATGATCAACCGCACTTGCACAATCAAACAATATATAATGATTATAATGACGAACACTAATACAAATAACCGTTTACAACACGATATTCTCATTAACACTCAATGCTAACACAAAGCAAACGTACCTATATCCAGCTTGAGCATCCTCAACGGCTAATTGTTTAAACTCTTCGTACATTTTGCGATTAAAATTGTCTCGCAAGAAGAATGATAAAAATCGGAAGAAAGCATTCATCTCGACTGTTCCAAAGCCAAGATGTTGCCTCTGTTTAAGACACGATGCTCTCCATTTCGTGTATACCTCAAACAAAACAAATACAATATGTGAAAAGTATCCTCGCGGAACACCTCGCCGGCATCAATAATGAATCAATTCAAAGTTATCATTTAGAAAGAAATAAATGTGCAAACCTGCTGCTCGAATCCATTCTCACGTAAAAGTGTCATTGATGGATGCTGCGGCAGAGGAATCGATGGTCCTGGTATGGCTTGAAGACTGGCCGAATCTGATGTTCCATCACTGAAACAACAACATTCAAATTATACAACTTGACGTGCTTTCTTTCTGCTATATTAACAAGCACTTACAACTCAACGACTTGAAATTCTCACAAATAACTTAATGCCAAATTTGATATCAAACTTACCAATGAGAGAAGAACAACACATCAAACAAAATTTCAACTAATAATTAAATGAACGAAAAAAAAAACGAACGCATTCAATGAGGAAGTTCTCGAACGTGTTCCCAGCACCCAACCAATCGGCGTTTCAATTGGTGGATTCTTGCTGTGTCGAGTCTTCTGTTTTCTCGGTGATGACGACGAATCTGGTATGGTCACTGTTGGTTTCGTGACTGGATAGAAGCGTGGCACCAGTTTGCCACGAGCTGATTCGCGTTTGGCTAGTGGACTCTTCGGCTACAATTGTATCATTCCGACAATGTGAGCACGAATCATAATAATCAATAAATCAAGCACAGTAACAATAATAGTAATGAACGATGTCAAAGATATGACGATACTCAAACAAAAATGGAACAGATAAAACAACTCACAGTGAGCGCAGCTGCAGCCGCAGCTCGTTCACGAGCCTTCTGCGTCCAAACAGACGATATGGCAGGTACCTCGTTGGGTGTTGGAATCACCTTCGGAGGTGGCTCTTGAGACGGCTCATTTGACGAACTCTCGCCACCGCCTTTCAACTGCTTGAACTCTTCGGCTGACACCGTATCAACCTTTTTCACTGACTGCTTCAAAAAACAGTTCATCACAGGCACCAAATATGATGAATCAAATCAAAACATGTTCAAAAAAACATGCTATGAAATCAACTGCGATGATGCAAACGTAAGAATTTTAAAATTTCGTTTTCTAATTAAACAAAGAAAATATACAAAAACAATAAAAATGATAATGCAATGACACTAACATTCACATCAAATCACCAAACAAAAACAAAGAAACCCACTGTGTGTTCAGCCTCTTTATGGCTCCACAATTCATACTCGTAACGTCGCAGCCCCATCTCCATCTCTTCGTTGAGTCTTTGATTCATTTTTGCACGTGTCGTATAGTCACCGGTTCGATCGTATTGTCGTTTCGTTGGCGGTGGTGGTGTTTGCGTGACGATGATCAACTTTTTCACGTTCGCATCACTCAACTCATCTGATGATTCGTCCGAACTCATCCTGCAAAGACCATCTCATAAAATCAATTATCACAGCAACACAACAATCAGATCAACCACAAAACTTACGTCATCGTCCGTTCAGCTGTGCCTCCACCCCCTCCACCTCCAATGGAACCACCACCCTTTTTATCCTTTCGATGCATCACTTCCGTTGTCTCATCACCAATTTCCTCGTCAAACTGAAAGTCAAGATCTGCTGCAGTTTGACGATTCGAAGACAGTGCAGTGACGTTGTTCGTTGTGTTTTGTTGCTGATGTTGTGACTGTGATGCTTGCTGTGCACCGCCGTGATGAGCTTGTTGATATTGATGATAAGACTGCTGCTGATGACCGCTTCCTGACTTCGGCATCGTTCCATGACGACTCTTTTTGTGCTTTCGACTCTTCACCTAAAACAACCCAAAACCAACTAAAATCTCAAAGCCAAACTTCAACATTCAAACCTCACAAGTTCCAATGCAATCATCACTTATCGCTACTGTTATCACAGACATAGTTATCACGAAAAATGAGCATGAATCCACAAACCCTTCGAATCAATTTAATATACCACTGAACGAAACAAATTCCACTCAAAAACAAAACAAATATATTTCTAAAGGAGCATAACAAGATGAACTCGATCAATCCGCATTACCTCTTGCCAGTGTTCCACTTCTTGTGCTTCTTCATCTCCTGCAGCACCACCACTTTTTGGCTGAGAAGATGCAGTTGTTGAGTCAGCATCCAACTGTTTGGTCTGCTGCTGCTGTTGCTGGACTGGTTTCGGTGCTTGTTGGCCAGACTCAGATTTGTTCTGGTCTGGCTGTTGAACGCTCGATTGAGAGGCATCGATTGTCGTTTTTTCGGCAATAACCGTCTCAAAATCTGACGATTTCTTTGACGGCACAGACTGCTTCTGCTGTTGAGCTTGAGGTGTCGCATCCTGAGCTGCGCCTTGAGTTTGTGCTTTCGGTTGCTGTTGTTTTTGTGGTTGTTGTTGTTTAGATGTCGGTTGTTGCTTCGCTGATTTTTGTTCACTGCCGCCACCAATTACCGGTCTACTATTCTTATCGCTTATTGATAATTCGTTCGCTTCGGCTGTCAACTTCTCAATGGCTATTTCAGCCTTCTGCGTTGCACTGCTGCTCGTTTGTTTCGGCATATCTTTTCGGTCGTTTTCCTTTGCTGAAGTCTCCGTCTCTACTAGTGGTTTCGTGATTGTTGCTGCCTGTTGTGGCGGCGGCTGTGATTGTGTCGGCTGTTTACCCGCAGATATCATCGATGAATCTTCACCACCACTCATTGGTGGGCTCATTGTCATCGAAGTACGTCGCGTGTCGGCCATTTCATCCACCTCACTGCTTTGGGTTGCTGGCGCTAGTGGCCACTGTTGTGGGTTCGAACGTGGACGAATCTGAAAAGTTGCAGATGTAAAAACATCACCTTCACGAATCACAACTCTCAAGCAATCTACAAAAATTTTATCCTATGCACTGTTCAGCAGCTCAACATCAAATTAAACATACCAAACTGCGAAATATTTCAGTGAATTTTTCACTATTATCCGCATTAAAATTTGTCAAATCTTTTAACGGATACCTTCTCAAGAAAGGATAGGATGCTCATGAACAACTGACTGCATTAACAAAACGCTCTTCACTAACCTTTCGTCCATCGTCACTAATTTCAACCTTCTCACTTCCACGAAGACCGTCAGCAATCAATTTCAGGTCTTGCGTAAGGGAGCGTACACGAGGGAAACTCGCAATCAGAGATAACGGCAAGAAGCCGTCTTTGTCCATTTTGCGACGAAGGAAAAAATCTTTTTGTAAATTGTCCGATGAGAAATAATATTCACTGAAATATGTTTACATACGAATCAATATGACGAAAATGATCAGTGTAATCAGTTATTTACTATTAAACAGATTGAAGATTTTGTAAGACGAAATTCACACTGCTCATTGTAACAGAACAACATTCAATTCGTGTCCCCGTGACGAAAATTGATTAACCACTTCTTCGAGAATGGAACAAATCACATCATTTCTACAATTCATCAAAAAAGATCAAAATTTGAAACAATGAAATATCAAACGACAGTGGAAAGCTAAACACTCACATTTGCTTCCTAACGTAATCCTTCAATGTGTCCTCATTGACTGGTAAGAAAGCGCTTGCTGGCGGGTATATCGCGAATGGTGCTGCAGCTAACGTAGCTGCTGGTCCTGGTGGTCCACCGATCGAGGCGGTCAACTCTGGTTTGGCGAGAGCAGCGGCAGGCAAAGGAGCACCGGACGGTGAGAGGAGAGCCGTTGGAGTGGCCGGGACTGTGGTTGAGGTTAGCGACGAGGCAGCCGAGTCGGGACGTGACGTCTCGTTAGCGTTCAAGCCGGGTGTTACCGGTGTGACCGTGGGTGCGTTTACACCTGCGCTAGCAGCACTGGCCGGTGTGACAGGGCCAGGCGCAGTGCTGTTCAAAGTTGGTGGTGGATGAGAGAGTAGATGTGGACTGAGCACACCGGGCGGCAGCGGTGCGCCCTGACGGAATGCCAATGCTGCGGCTGCAGCAGCCGCTGCGGCGGCCATCTGCTGCTGCTGTTGTTGTTGGAGCACAAGGCTCGGAATGGCCGCAGCCAATGCCGCATCGAGACCCGTGGCGGTCGGATCGAATGGTGGAACGGCTGACATCGCATAGTATTGCGAGTACTGTGTTTCCATCAGATCCATATAGTCGAAATTGTCCTCTTCTGTGCCGTCTGTGGCCTCCCAGTCGGGCAACGGTCCACGAGCACGTCGTTGCGCAGGTGTTAATTTGGGTGGTGCCTGCGGATGAGAGCCACGTGATTGCCAACGATCGTTACGTTGATAATAAGCTTTCGTCTTGTTGCTATTCGGATCGTTATGGATACTTGTGTGTGGGGACTGTTGTTGGTTCGATGACTGGTCATCGCCGCTGATACGACGTTGTGGCTGATGTGGCGGCTGACCGTGATCTGTCGCCGACTGTTGATGATACTGTCGTTGTTTCATCGAATCACCACCATTCTTATGCCAGTAATCAACACCGGCACCCATTGTGCCTGCTCCTCGTGCATTCGACGATGACATTGCACCACTGGCTACTGACGCCGGATAAGTACTTCGTGCCACAAAACCCGCGGCTTGCGGTTGCGTGAAATACGGACGTGTTGAAATCCTTGGTTGCGCTCCCCCACCACCACCGCCACCCGAGCTCCCGCCTGAGGTCGTCGTTGTCGATGTTGGATTATTATTATTATTATTATTATTACTATTAACACTATTACTACTCGTATTATGATGTGCAGCCGTTCCCGGTTGATTCGGTTGAGCATTCGACGTGGATGCCCATTGCTGCTGATTCGTTGACGAATTACTTGTCGTCGTCGGATTATTATTATTATTATTATTGTTCATCACTGCAGCACTCTTCACTGAACCGGCACCATCCTGATCTCGTTTACCACTCGACCTTAAATCGATATTCAATTATCGCCTAAAACTTGTNGTCTAAAATTCATCGTTCAAAATCTCTTTTCATCATTTCTTACTGCAATATAAAACAAAATCAAAATCAAATTCGTTCTGCATTACGACAACGCAACTCATAACTATAATACATTCCCAGCCGAATTACTCATCGCATCTGCAACAAAAATTTCGCGAAGAATAACGACAAGTGTACTGCACCGTCTCGTGCACACAACCAGTCGTCACTAATTCATGCAACAAACTCATAATCACCTCATTATCACCATGATATGTTACATCAAATGCTGTCAGCCATACAAACCGGTTTCAACATTCCCATCGCAACTGATAAAAAACTTGTCTTGCACACAACTGTTCACAACACTCGATCGATACAAAACAATCAATGTGAACGAAACAATCGCTAAGCCAAACAATGTCAATCAAAAAATTTCGCTTTCCTTCTCAACAAAAACAATCCTAACCGCCATCACTCAACACAAATAACTTCAAAAAGAAATGATAAACCAGTGAAGATGAATTCCCACTAATAACAAATAGACGTGGAATATAAGTTTTCTCTCAAAACAGCCTTTATCATTAAAAGATTTTTTTCAAAGAAGACTCCTTATCTCACGTAACGATTGCAACATTCAAATACTCTAAAACAAACAATATAAACAACAATTTTATAAATTAACGGACAAGTAAATAAACGACANCCTCTTCACAACTTCTTCCATACCCTGCAGAACTTCTCCAAATTCCAAAGGAATCCATCTCGAAAATTTTGCTATTCCACCGAACACAAGAGAAACGAACGAATGAAATACGACAAGATATGAGACAAACCTTGTGTTCGCTTGATTCGTATTCATACTCGCCTTATGAGCACGCGCTCTTTGCAGTTGCTGCGGATTATTATTATTATTATTGTTACTGTTACCAGTGGACACGTGAGATAACGTGGACTGAACTGGATGCACAGTAGTTGCTAATCCTTTTTGATGTAGTTGACTACTGTTTGAGCTGCTGTTATTATTCGGAGATGATGCAACAACGTTGTGATAGTGACGGTGTGTTGACGTAGCTAGTTCATTCTCAACACCATTGTTATTCGTCGTTATATTCACGCTGTTCGTTGATACCTTCTTTTTCCAGCCTTGATTTCCATCCATCAAATAGTAAAATCCATTTGTAGTTGTATCCAGATACCTGAAACAACTCATCAATCGGTCAATCCGCAAACCAATTAATTTTCACTTTATCAATTACTAATCACTAATCACCATCCTCTTCCCATATAACAAATCATTATCATTTCAACCCTTCATATGGTTAAGAGCTTTTTTAAAACATAAACGTAAGTAATCGATTCCATGTTATTCATTCAAAAAACGCCTCACGACTGTCATTGTTGTGCAGTAGTATTATTTAGACTATTTGTATAGCGCCCTTATTTATCAACATTCCAGCACAGCAAGACACATTATATCACATCAATGAAAGACTTAACGACTGCACCAAACGCTGCGTCACATTCAGACGAAATGCTTCCTTCGGTTGCTCGCTGCTGTATAAAAATGCAACCGAGCAAAAAAATTTCGGCGGAAACGAAAATATTTGTCATAAATAATAATCACCAATTTGTTTGCTCGCCCAACTACCAACCTGCTCACCTAATATAACGAATAAATAAGTCTTCGAATAAAACTATGATTCATTCAATACAGTCGTTCACAAAATTCTTTTCCTACAGCATAAAGTTGCAGTCAGTTAACTCTGTTCGTTCATCTATCTTTAGTCAGCGCTTACACTATCAAAATACATTGCAATACTATCTTTAGTCAGTGCAAAACTGGATAAACTGTAAACGTAAAATACCATCAACGACAATCCGCGAGCACACTTGAAATTACACGCAAACGAGACAATAATCACAAATGACCTATGTGATGAAATTCATAAGGAAAGCAAAAATTAATGAAGATGCTGGAACATCAAGAAGGAGCAAAACTTATGTGCAACAGAGTGCACGAAGAAATTAATATCATTGGAGGAGGAGATACGAGACGAACAGCTTTGCCGAGCCCCAATACCAATACTCAACTTACGAACAACAACCGCAGATTTCAAATAAGAGGAACACAACTTCAACTGAAATGAAACATCCATCCGAATGAATGAACGCAATCAAAATATTATCATAGTTGAATGGAATGCACACACAACTAAGCGTCGTTCATTCAGCACACGTCACACTCTCAATAAGCAATTATTCCAATATTTCATCAACATTTTCAAGCCAATTCCAATATCACTCTCTAAATACATTGTTGTCAGCATACTCGTATCATTATCGATGTGCTATCACTGTCCTGCGCTGTCGTTATTATCATATCAACTGTGTGAACGAAAGAACGCGTTTCAGATTCATGCATCAAACCGGTTTCTGTTTTCGATACATTCAACTCAGTCCACTGGGACGTAGCAAATCGTTAAGTGATACTGCTGCTATCAATACCATTATTTTTATATTATTTTTTATCTCATTGTTATATGCTCATCAAACATATTATTCGTTCAATTAAATTCCCTTTCGATTTCCATTTCAATTGAATATATCGTCTACGACAATAATGTGCCACATTTCAAGGATTCTGGGAGTACGCAAAAACCATTCGTGGGTAAGTATGCAGTTCCAGCTGCAAGCTGAAAGCTACATTCCAGCAGAATCAGCTACTCAATAGAATTTTGTGGCCGACGAAACAGAACTGAAAATTGTAATAAAACTGTCCTCATCGAAAATACATCAAAACATTTTGTACAAAAAAATAATTATGTACTTCAAGCTAATAATTTCACAACTATCACGCTCACAAATCAGTGATCAGAATTCCCCTAACCTAACCCATACACCTAATGAAACTACCCCAAATAACCCAATAATAACTACTATGAATGACCGATCAAAATCACAAAATAATCCCTTGCAGTTCCAAATAAGATTACTGAGCTGAACAATTATATGATTTGCCCTCACTAATTGATCCATCTACATTACACGAATACAACTTCAAGAACTCCGTCAGTGTGAATGCTTGTATAGATGTATGACGGTACGATCTCAGAAGGTTTTTCGTTTTGTTTTGTAATATTACACCATTACAAGTATACACGTACGTCTTATGCTTGCTACTTCGCTCACTTTTTACGATTATATTCTATTACTTCGGTTAGCATGTTCGTTTCCACATCTACGCATGTAAGCATATATCGAAAGATGCTACTTATCCAATAATTGAATTCAATCGAATTCACCGAACGCCATGACGACCGCTGAGACTGACACATTTCATCTAAGTGGTCACTAATTTGATCTAATTTATACTTGCATAAAACTGATCTTAAAGAAATTATGACAGATTTGAACAACTTAACAAGACAAGAAGAAACAATCTAACGGATCGTTGATCAATGCTCAATCCCGTAGGCAAACGAAAAGAAAGCGCGTTCCTCTCTCTGCACCACAGAAACAATCAAGAAACGTTAATAAAGTGCAACGCAAGGTAACGTGATCAATCGATAGCTGAATGTGGAGTATGATCTGGCCAATCTCACTGATATAATATGATATGATAAAGGCAGAAATCAATAATTCTTGCGGCTATACAAGCTCTAAATACCTATACAACAGCCATAATGCGGGCGTGATTGCATTTGTTCATATGTACAAATCAATCCATCAATAATTTCACTGCTTGATATCACAAAAAAATGAAAACAAGATGTTATTGTGTACCAAATAAAACGTTCGTTGATACGAGATAGATGGATGGGTGGATGGTCATGATGATGTTGACGTCGGCGATAAGAATAACGACGAATGCGTAAAAAGAAAAGATCAAATAAATGGAACTGCTCACGAGGATACGACGAAAAATAAGAAACAAGGAAAAAATTTAAAATAAGCACCGATGTGACAGAGACGAGATCGAAGCAAAACGAAACCAAATAACAAACAACATTACGCCAGGCTAGATCTATCTATCTCTAGTCATCCCATCATCCATCTCGAGTCATGCTTCTTTCCCAGCGCTAATATTCAACAACAAAACTATAAAATTCATCACCCATTGCCGTCAGTCCTACAATTCATCAAATACAACATAAATAATTCCATTTCAACAGCAAATATTGCTCCTATACCCTAACTACTACAATACAAATTCTTCTTCGTTCGCTCATAAACAAACGTACCAATCTAACTATAGATAAGACAAAACATATCGACAAATAAATTAAATAAACGAACAAAAATACGCCATACATATACTTCTTTCATCTATCTGTTTCTCCCAAGTAGCATTGCCTTTAATAAACATCCAATACAACTAAAACTATCACCATTTCTTAGCGAATCACCAAATTTACTAACAGTTCCGCCGTTAGTACTCGTTCTATCGTTTGTCCTTTGCACTCATTCATGCAGTTATTCGCTCATTCATCATTCCTCTACAATACTCTAACTCATTTCCTGATATACCTTAACACTATCATGACCCGAACACACCTATAACTTCCTCATCATCAACTCCCTTATCGACTCATTCCACTATAACTCTTCTTATTAGATAATCATATCATATAATCACATTCTTACATCAATAAAAGATACAACGCAAAACCGATTCAAGCGTTTCGTTTCCTTCAACAGTCGCCTGCTTCGCTTCGCATCCTCTCGTTTCGCCTTCATTCACCGCTTATTTTCTCTCTGCTCACCCATTCTAATTTCGACTTACATCCATCTCAACTCAGCACCACTTTAACTGATTTTATTTCCATCCAGACCACACCTTCTCACCGAAATCTACTCAATATAAACGCTATATGATTCAAGTTTCATGACAAACCCACCAAACACCCTCCATGTAATCTGCATTTTATCTCGCACACTCCAACATACTGCTGCTATTGTTAATACAATCCTCCACAAATAAATACAACATCACATGAATGACTACTGCCTGAACGATGATGCAAAACGACCAAGAATATAACCCACATACATAATATAATACATTCAAGTCTGCTACATATTACACAACACAACCAAATACTCCGTTATCTCAGTCCATCCGCCGCCGCCTTTTCAATTCAGACTTCAGATTATTCAAACTTCAGTCAACTTTCTCTCATATCTATAAACCCCACCATCCACCCATCGATCCACGAATCAGCCATACACTCTCATCTCGTCTTATACCAACTTATCAACAACAGATTCTCACTTCCCCATTCCTTCTGCTCTCATCCACCCGTCCGTTCACTACCGGCAAAAACCGCTGCATAATCCAATCGTCTGAATATCGCGTAACATCCATCCTCCTCAGCCCAACCACCAAAACACTTTCCAATTCTCTACTCATTGATTTTTCTGCATGCAGTTACGCAATTGCTCCAACAATCAACTGACTACGTAAAACTATCAAATGAATGACTGAAGACGAGTATAAAGAGGAATAAAAGAATAAACAAGTGAATGAGTAGTACATGCCAAGTCAACGAGACGGCTAGCAAACAAACAGATCAATCGCATTTATCCCTATATCTTGTCCCGTAATATCCACTGATATTCTCTCTCCCTCTCTGCTATTTATCTTATCCCCTATATCCGCCTTCTGTCTTCTCTATTTTCTGTAATTTGTTACGCGATCGTCATCTTTTCACGACCGTCATCCTCAACACACCACTATCATCTTCACATCTCATTAAATAAAACAACTAATCAATTCATCATGCTCTCCTCTTGTATATCATCAAAATCCATTCACAATCACACAAACCTTCACTTCAGCATCTCTATCCCTCCCTCCACCCTTACCTTTATCAATAGCCATCTAACTGAATTTTTATCTGAACATATCTACATCACATGTATTTCTGCAACTCGACTACGCTAAACTGTTCTGATAAACTAACTCAATTCAGCTTTCTAGGGGGCTCTTCGTAATTTCATAAACTCTTGAAAGTGCTTGCTTGCATCTATTAAATTTCCTACTAAATTATCGCACCCATTAATTTTCCTATCAAATTATCGCATCTATTAAAATTTCTCTCTACTGTAAAGTAAAAAACAAAACCGTAATAAACGAATGAATGAAGTGAAGTGAAAATTCGAACTCAACATTCAGATTTTCACTGAAAAGGCAACGATATTCAAAGAAGAAAAAAAAACAATCACAGAACAGTGAAATCGCCCTAATCATCATTATGCTGTTGTTGATTCACTGCATGTGCACAGCAGAATAAATAAAAGTGGGTATGTACCAAACGAATACAACACAACAAGCAACAAACACAATCATGAACAGTACGGCTGCTGCATGACGTTTACAATTATGATACAACAGCAGCATTCAAGCATACAGTACCAACACTGTTCATATCCATTCTTTTTTCGCTTACATTCGCCCACAAACGTTCTACGAATATTTCCAAAACCAGAACTTCACATTCATATCTGTGTGTGTGTGCATATTAAAAGCACTTTTCAAACAACTTACATATATATGCATATTAAAATTGTTAAAAGCACTTTCCAAACAACTATCATTATCTACCTATCATATTCACTATTATCACAAACCGTACACAATATATAATACGTCATTGTTTTATCCTCATACTAAATTCAATTTAATCTTATGACAAATGCATGCTGCACATAACAGCCAGCATTAAATGCATACACCATTCACACTCTCGNTCAGTAAAAGACAGCACACTCAAACAAAATTCAGCCTAATCAAACAGTCAACGAGTAGATCCGCAATCCATATCACGCTATACCCTACGTACTACTCGCTTGTCCTAATAAGCTCTATATCTCGAACAAATACGCGCAGACACACTCACCAACACATATATTATACGCCATGCACTCCGAGCCACATCAAACCGATAATGGAAATATCAAAGAAAAACGTTGCGAAAGATGGAAAAAATTTTTTCGAAGAACTGAATTCAATGAGAAATTTCGTGACCGCGCATGAACTAATACAGCATCTACGTATATGTACGAACAGAACATAGCTATCAAAATGATTAGGGGGAATATCAATTTTTCTACGATATATCATCATTTCATTACGTTTATTACAATGACTCAAGCAGAATACATCCTAGCCAATATCCTTTTATATATGGTACGCTTTGAACTGATTAATTTATACTGTTACTTGGACGTCGAGTGGTTGACTTGTCAATCGCTGCGAGTGAACGGCGGAATATTTATATTACTAGAGTTATGATTATTTGTTGGATTGACATTTGTCTACGATTAATTATGCAAAATATTCATGGCTACTAGTTAACTACTCGGTTGCGTTCGGTTGGCCTGCTCGCCTAGCCAGCGGGGTGGCGTAAATTGAGGCACGGAAACGCGAGCATTGTGGCCAGCAACGTTACAAACGTTTGATAGCCTGCTTGCCAATCCAGGTAATCCAGGTAACGTTTTGAACAGTTTCATTCACTCTCGTTCACCCTTTCTTTCAGTCAATCCCAATGATCAAAGCATCACTTCAAAAAGCAACAAAACTTAACATTCCCCTAAAATAAACAAAACAACATTCACTCATCAATTCCAGAACCTAACCTATATCTTTATCATCGAGAAAACCGTCAATAACCTCATCTAATCGCCAAAAGACTTCATCGCACAGAACAACGCTCACGCTTAACTCAACTACCTCACAAACACTGACACTATCAACAGCAACACAATTCGAATACGGTAGTGGAAGCATAACGGAAGGAAGCATTTGCATGGATTCGTGGATGCTCGAATGAATTCGAAAGAAAATCACACTTCGTTCATCATAAACGTCAACGCCATACAAATATATGCTGCTGTTGCTACGTCGCATCGACCAACTCAGAAAAATGCACATAAATATTTATAATAATAATATTCAGATAGCAGAACGCACTTGCAGACATCTCCTACATTATTGTATTCGTTTATACTTCTTTCTCAAACGCAAAAACGCCAACAATCCTATCGATTCTTTGATTTTGTTTTTCTTTTTTGGTCTGCGAAACGTGAAACGAAACGAATGCATGGAATCGGTGAAAACGGTGGAATAAATAATTTGAATTAAAATTTGAAACGATCTGCCATTTCAATACGGTGGCAATACGGAAACCAACAAACGAATGGATGAATCTGTTCAATTTTGAATGAGTTCATCGAGAATTATGCAAAAAAAACAGCTGACTTTCTGTCTGAACACGCTTAAAATAACTTAACAAATCAGCTTTCAACTTCGTCATTTCATCATATCGCTGCTATCTATTTTATAAGAATGCTTTCACTCGTTTAAACCCGCTCTCCCCCTCTGCTAAAAAGCAAACAAAAACAAAACAATCAACTAAATGAATTGAACATAGATTTTCCTAGTCTAATGAATATCATTCATCTGCTCCGCAATGAATCGCCGCGATCAACAAATCGAATGAAGAAATTTCGTACGCGCACAATGAAGTGAATTCTTTTGCCCCGAATGGTAGTCTTAGAAGAGTAGAAGCAAAGACATGTTAAGATTAAATGCAAGCAGAATAAAGCTGAGAAGTAGATAAGCAGGAAGATAGTGTCGATTAAAATGTGATATCATTTGAAGTAATTACAAAAGCAATAAGGAAAATGATGAAAAACCGAATGGATTGAATGAAAACCGAATGAATGCATAAACTAAATCAAAATTCCAAGAAACAACACCCCTAACCATTCTATATTTATGACACTAATCACAACATGAATTGCAATAATTGTAATGCTAAAGATGAATTCATCAACACTACAATTATTGTCACTATTCTAGTTAGTATCATAATAACTACCTTTGAAACTAGAAACCTACTATCACTTTAAGAAAATAAATAAATTAAATTTGACTACTGAAGTGGCAAAATTGGTAAAAATTTCACCAATTTTACTTGATATCGACAATCGTAGCATCACATTCTAGCGGCATTAGTGCCTAACATTTCCTAGAGTCTCGGTTCTTGCTCAGTTCAACAATTTTCGCTTGCTCCGTTGCTTTACCCATTCACAATGTGTGCAATCTTCTCGTGAATTGCGCGAAACTCTTTTTCAAAATATAGCCATACAGAATGAAACACAATGCGAATGCCTAACTCAAATGCGAATGCAATACTACGACTGTCGATATCCTGAGCAATTTTGAAGCAGTGGTTTATGCTAAATCGTTGAAATCAGTACTACACATTAAAATCCACCCTTGCAAAATGCCGCAACACATCGCTGAAGAAACATTTTTCGTGTTTCGTTAAGGTATTTATATCTATTTGTCTTCGTTCTATCCATTTTTCTGCCCACAAAAATTCCTACAACAATTCACCACTACTTCAAAACCGCAGATAGAATATTACTATCCTATACACCACCAATCTCACCAGTAGTTCTCTTCGACGTACTCGTTATGGTGTTGTTGAGTTGTCGTGTCGTTGCTTGTGGCTTGTTGCAGCAAATGATTGTTGCCAACCGTTGTCAGCGACGTTGTCATATTATGAGCGTTTGCCCTCAGATCATTAGGTGACACCGGAGCACAGCCCATCAACGATCGCGGTTGCTGTCCCTGGGCCTGTGATACGCCAGCGCCCGACTGCGGTAACAATCCGGGCATTCCGTTCGGCACACCACCCTTTATCAAATTCTCCGAATTTGTGCTGTTCACATACTGAGCCGAAGAAGCATCTTTTACTGACTGTTGTTGCTGTTTCAGTCCACCACGCCTAAAATTGTTCCTTATAGACTCCACTTCTTCATCACTTCAGAACTCAACAATAGTCGATGTCTGTTCAATATGCGAGGAGTACGCATGAATCTGAATGGTCATAAACAAATTTTTGATTGAATTATAATATTTTACAAGCTGTATTATAGAACAACGGCATCGTTATATCAAATTATAAATACAAAACAATGTCACATTCAATCAGATAATCATTTGTTCAAATAGTGAACGGTTCACAACAAAAAGCCATCAGAGTTGGCTCAACGATAAGCACCGACCTATTCCTTGGTAACGATTGCCCGTGATCGTTTCGATTCGATGAAAGAGCCGCATTCGAACGTCTCGACTGCCCTTCACGGCCCGCATAATCCACGTCAATGTCAACTTTCTTCCATGTTTTAGCACCCTTTCCACCTTTTGATGATGCATTACTAGGTGTTGCCGTACTGCCATCCGTCTTCTCTTTTTCTTTACCTTTCTCCTTCTCCTTATCTTTTTCCTTATCCAATTTCGCCTCCTACAATCGAACGTCTTTATTCACTGGTTCATATCACGTGAACTTTCAAGGGATTCGAATGGTTCAGAGTGCTGAATGAATTTGAAAAAAAAAAGAATGAATGCATGAATAAACAAACGTTTGTGTTGATTTCGTGTTTTTTCTCGACCGAATCCGATTCGGAATCAAGTGATTGTGTTTGCCTTACTGATGTATTCTGCGCCTTTGTGGTCGCAACCGCACCAGCTGGCGTCACATCATCTGCTTTTTGTTCATCACTAAGTACGGCTGCATTCAACGATGGCCACACTTTTTCATCAACTTGCCTCACTCCCTATTAATTAACAGCTCTATTACAATTTTACACAAATCACAACGCTATCATAACAACCTTAACAACTACGTTAACGATACATTCTACTAATACTCAAAGCAACTATATCAATAATAAAAATAACAATAATCACAAAAACAACCTCATTATCGTTCTGTTTCTGCACTGGTACAGGCAACCCAGTAACAACCGACGCAACTGTAGGCATAGGCACATTTGACGGCACGGCAGCTTGCTCGCTGGTTATCGCCGCAGAGGTGGCACTTACGCTAATTGCAATACCCGCTTTTGGTTTAGTCTACAAAACGACATCAATCACTATTCAACTCTCAAATATCGATAACTTCAACTAATTACATTTTCAACTAATTCGCATCCATAAACACATACAAATATCTAAAACAAACTTAATCACACTAAACCATCCATCTTTTATTATCAATTAACCCAACGACATTACCAGCAAATCAACCAAATAAATCACTTTTCAGAACAAAGCAATCTCTAATCGCTAATCTCTAATCAAACAAGCGAAATCCCTCAGGTTAAATCAATCAGAACTCGAAAAATTTTCTAATTAATACCACGTTTTAATACATACAGGTCTAGTAACAATGATAACAATGATAATAATAACAATAATAAAAATAATCAAGTGAAGAACGGAAATAAATATGTAAAGAGTAAAAAAGAAAAAACCTTTATATCATCTTTGCTCGGTGCAGTGGCCGTTGGCTTTGTGGTTACGTTCACTTCGACCTTCTTTTGTTGTTGAGCAGTTGGCAAGGCTGGTACGGACTGTTTTTGAGTACTGTTTACTGACGGAGTCTGTTGAGCAACTTTTGCTGATTCTACACCCTCTTCAGCAGTGCCTAAAATACGAAATTAATGCTTTATTAACGTTCTGAAGAGAGCTTCAGACAGTTCACTTGTACTCATAAAAAGATAAGGATAGTAACCAGTAATGAATCGAACTACAATAATAATCGTCATCATCACAGCAATCATTATTGCGATAATCATCTACTCAGCAATAGCAATATTGATACTATCATCACTCAACACCTCATAATTGAACCGGTTGATTCAACTCGAGTACTCTCAAGCATCTGTACATGAATGTGCCAGCCTCATCAATCAATCCAACTAAATGTGATTTACGTGATCTTCGCATCAAATATTTCACTTACTCACCCTATTGAACTCTTAACAAAAGAGAGAATTTTTCAAAAACTCTGCAAATTATTCCTCTGCCCAACGCAAAACATTAACTCGAAAACAATTTATTCTCAAAAGTAAATAGCATCCAAAATAACGAACGTTTCGAAGACTGTCTACTGAACCAAGCGTTGACAGCAGGCAATGGTGCTGGTTCGAGGACAATTTCCTTCTGAACCGGTTGGGTGTTTACTGCCTCCGAATCGTCTTTTTCTGCCGCCGGAACGCCACTATCCTGAAAAGGCTTCCAATAAAAGCCATGATATCTGTTAATTATTCAACAAAGATGACACAATTCAAAAGTTCTTGCAACTGATATCGCCTTTAATAACAAATTTTCACCGAAAATTTCATCCAAATCAATCAGTAAAACAACACAATTCAAGCAGCATCAATTTCATCATTGAACAGAGAAAATTTTTAGCAACAACCAACACATACTTAACTTTTAAAAGATGAAAAATCAAAGAATTCTGAAGAAACGATGGCTTAAAACTGAATGCAAAAGACACGACTTCGTGAACAAACCTTCACTTTGGGATGCTTCTCGCTCCGGTATCTTGGTGGCTTATTTCGACGATTGTAATAATGTGGATGTGGTTGTGCTAAAGAGGTCGACTGATGCTTCGAATCTGAATGCTGCGACAGCTGCTTAGCGTCCTTTCTATCAGAAGCATTATTACCATTACAATTACCCATAGCCCCACCGACTGGCCCATTACTACTCAAATTATTTCTATTGTTATTAATATTATTATTATTCAGCGAAGCATCTTCATTTGACGATGATATCTGTTGCTGTTGATTTGATTGTTTGCTGATACCGCTAACACTATTACTATTACCATTATCATTATTATTAATATTATTATTCTGATTAGCGGTATGCACATTCACGGATACGCATCCCCCAGTTGAAGTTGATGATGAATGGATATTACTGTTGCTGTCAGATGGATCTGCTGCACCAGAAACAATACGGGCAAACGATATCATCGGCTTATTACTGGCCATCAATTCGCTTATTTTTATTACTCAATCTTCGGTGATGTGATATGATACGATGGAATGATATATTCACAATTCAGCTTCCCTTTGCTGCCTCAATTCGTCTTCCTTCCTTCCTTCGAATTTGTCAACAACGATCGATATTACTTACTCAAAACGCAAACCTATTTACCTGAAATTAACTCGCTTCATTTCATTACATTTCCATATATTCAAAGAATCAGTATCGAGATCGCTTCAAAAAAAGTCGACGTGATCCTTTGGTAGATCAAAGTAATCATCGAGAAATTCGATAATAATCACGCAAGCTGATAATCTAATGATCACACACGGTCAGTAAGATACCAGCTAGTTTAACTACAAGATTCATCAGCGAAATACACAAACATCCAAAAAAAGTGAAGCAAAAACGATGACAGATTTGGTTTCATTTCATGAATTCCTAATAAAATTGATCTGGTCTGAGAATTAATCGACGAAATTTTCAACATAAAAGTAAACGGGCAGTAACTATCTATCACTCAATTTGGGCACATATTTGATGTCCTCAAATCTTTTTGATCACCCTAATCGAATTCCGAAACGTCGAACTGAACACATTCAAGAAGCACGTAGTAAGGGCACATCAAATCCATCCATAGATTCAGAATTATTACACGATAACTTGTATCCAATTAATTCTCTCAGTACAAAGCGCGCAATAAGAAGAAGACGTGTACGCAGTCAAATTCTACCAACCTGTCAACGAGGGTATTCAGGAAAAAAAACCCAAATCAACTCAATTCCAAGTCAGCATTAATTGAAATTCGAAAAAATCGCTTCGATCAAATTAACACAAATCATTTATTGATACCCAATAAGCAACAATGGTAACGTAATTACCATCACATTTATGTAAATATTTTCGTACTGTTAACATTTGTCACAATGAATTTAACAAAGGAATTCATATGCAAATTATGATGACGTTATTGCTTGTCACATTACAGCGCAATCGTTATCAGCATTCAAAGTCTATCAAAACGAGTTAAAATCTCTCTGTAGCACCAAAGAATGGGTTAAAAAAACATTGCTATGTCACAAGCTACGTTTCAATCATGTGACCAGTAAAATTCAGCTTTTCGATCGAACCCATCCAATTCACAAAAATGAAAATCTCATTCACTCATTTAAAACTGGTAAAACTTCATGAACTCAATTACGCGTAAACTGTGAGAACCAATCAGTCAAAAAAAAACACAGAATTAAACATTAAAACGAAGAAATAAATTAAAAACTAAACGTATTTCTGAAATGAAGAGAAACGCTTGCCCATTTAATGAATACACATAGTTCATGAGGTAATAAACGGGAAAAAAATATTTCCGATGAGAAACTAAGCATAAATACTTGAAATGAATATTAAATAATCCAAATATAAAATTCAAGAAGTGCAGTTTAATCAGCGCACATCTATCTCCACATTTCACAACGCACACGATCCAGTAACGTTCAGAGGGCAGTGTCGCAGTGTTGTGTGTACGCACAACGTGTGTGCTCATCATGTGAAGCACGATCAAAACATACTCTTCGCTACTCGTCATTACAATGTCTTGTGGATTGTCTGAATTAGAACTGATGAACGTTTGTGATTGAGATTAATTGTTACATTCATAAATTCCAAAATCATCCATTCATAACGCACAACCCTCAATCAGCAGTTATCCTCGGTGAACGTCATTTCACCATTGGATCCATACCAAAATTTGCACAAATGTCCAGACAGTACGTATTTTAGCATCTTATCATGACGGTTATCGCAACCGTTAGCTTAAAAAACTATGATCATTGTGAAGACAATAGAAATAACAATAGAAAATGAGTGTATTCGGAACAGGTGTAATCGTCAGAACGAACATAAAGAGATACACAAAACAGTGAACACTTAAACGGATCACCTCCAGCGATAAAAGACCCATAAAAGAATCAAGACTGTTCGTCGGTCTTCAGGCTTATCATAATATGAGAACACTGTAATACAAAAGTCCTCGGATTTAACAGTTTTATGAATGGACTGTATAAATTTAGTTGCAAAAATTTTGATAGTTGTACACGTACAACACATTGTTGCAAAACGATTATGACGTTTTATAGTCTGTTACATGACATCAATATGGGTGATCAGTGATAGTAATGGTAATGAGGTGGAAATCAAATTGTTGGTTAGATGTTAGGATTTGTGCGATATTCATCGGATAATTGAATAGTGATTTGAGAAAGGGATCGATTCGATGAAAGAATTGAGTACTGTTAAAGTTCATTGAAATCGATTGAAATTGCTGGGATACGTTCAGTTGGTGGTGTATTGCTGGAGAGTGCAATTGTTGGGATGCAAACGATTCCTTACAAAAACGAGCAAATTGTTTCGAAATTCATGCCTGAATGTAAGCTCAGTTTCGCAAATTCTCTTGAAACTTGCTTGCGTGCGCTGTTCAGCCAGAACGATTCAGCCTTACATACAACCAAACACCGGTATTCTCCACTGGAAATATTTCGTTGCAAATTTGGTATGTAAGGAAATATTTCGAAATATCTCCTTACATATCAAAATTCAGCTCAACGTCATGGTTCCGCACGTTTCCAACAATTCTGTTCAGTTTCCTGGTCAATCCACAGCCGAAGCTTTAGGAGATAACTGTTCAGTGGACTGAAGATATTCCTATGGTGAAGCGATATCACTGTGAAATTTTTATGGTCNTTGCTGAACTTCTCATTGCCGATGCTTTCTCATCATTCGCACGGCTTATCATTAAATTGTCATGTTCCCTTTCCAGGCAAATTCCTGAGAGGTGTTTCACACATGAACATCCCTGGACACTATGATGCCACTGTTCAATGTTTGCACATATTTGAGATTTCTTTTCATTTTATTTGAGCATAAAAACATTTCGTATCGATTCACTGAGATAACCAACACACAAACAAGTGCAACACAAATGCACTTTGGTGAGCATTTAACCAAGGACGAAGCTATACTATTGCTCACGGCTTGTCTTCACGCAGCTGTACACAAAACTGACTTTTTAAAGTGGAAATTTCTTGATTATTCGTCACTTATTCGCTTTGAATCATTGCAAAATTTTGAAAAACGCGTTCAATCAAATCATGAATTATTTTGCACAGTTATGACGGCAAGTTATTAGAGACCGCTTCACCAAAATTTTCGTTTTCATCTCCTTTTTGTAGCCGATCGTCAGTTCTCAATTCACTGAGTTTCGTGCGATTTTTAGAGGTTTCTCAGAAGTTTTGAATAGTCAAATCCGATTTTCACTTCGCTATCGATGTTCTCTTCGAGAAACAACGTCAAATTCTGAATGATTTAACCCTAAATTTGTGATTTTACAGTTGTTTCCCTCGCAGTTCTTATTACTGCATCCTTCAAGAGAATTTATTTGATGTCATATACTTCGGAGTCAAACGACGTTGATGTTCACATTTGTTGGACGTGATTTATTTTGAGATGCGGTTCATTCAAGCATATTGTTAAATGACATCGTTCATTCAGATAATCAAAAAGTTTGTATGCGATGCCAAAACGACCATATGACACCGATGATACTGAAGTAATCGGTGAAGTAATCCCAAAAAAGATGTTCAGTTGCGGTGAAATCGCCGCACAGACCAAACTTCTTCCATTCGCGTCGAAATATCAGTTCATTGATAAACGTTATCGATTCAAAAAGAGGTAAATTTTGACGTTTTCAATCGACTCAATGATCTTCCAAAATAATGGGACATTGAATTCGCTTCGTAAAGACCTGAAGCGATTGCCATCGTGATACATCTGAAATCAGTGAATAATTCAGATGGATAAATGGTTGTCAATGCATGGATTATCCACTATCACAAAAGATGTATGAACAACCGTGCAACGTTGATAGAACTTTAGTTGAATGATATTGTCAGTGGGGATGATTTTGTGACTATTGCAACACTGACGAATCTGAGGACTTTGCAGATCGACGTTTCAATGTACGCAACTCCAGATGAGTTCATGCAACTGAAGGTGAATAATCGAATATTGTACATAAATGTGACTTCCGAACGGTGATTAAATGTTGCTTCATCTGGATTTTTCTTTTATCTGAGCGGCTTCGTCCATTTAAGTCGCTCAACAACTTGGAACACATTCATTTGGAGTGGTCATGTTGTCAAAACCTCAAAGCAGAGCATCTCACTCGACTCTTCGAACTTCCATCCGAAAACGCATCCAGCTGTTTCCCGTATCGTCTGAAATATTTGCGTCTATGGAATTGTCCTGAACTACTTCAGATGGTTGCCGTAAAGGCCATTATAAGCAGGTAATAA